TCAAAATTATTTATAATACTGTACTATATCTGCCAGTTAACTCTTAAAGTATATTATTCCATTTACTCCTATCAGTTGATGTAATTTTCTTTATATTTGAAAGTGAGTTATTGATGTTTACCTGTACTTTGATAATTAAACTTTACTATTAAAGCTGATTATTTGTTTAGCTACGTCAGCTAAACATAAACTATGGCTTCTGAATATATCCCTCTGTTTAGCCTCTTTTAAGTTTTGCTTCATTATGCTGCAGTACTGTAGTAGTACACACGAGCTTTCAGAAGCGACCTTATGGAAGAGAATTTTCGCGTGTTATCCCTTTAAAACTGAAACATTTTCGTTTTCTTTAAGATAATAATGTATCAGTTTTCTGTGACAAAACGCAGTACTTAGTGGATCCCTCTCCCAAATTGTCTAATATTGAAACTACTGTACATTGCGAAGGATAGGATGACTGATGGTGTTGGGGAGATAAGATGGCTGGGTGGGATTAGGAAGCCAAATAGCTACATGGGGTTGGGGAACGAGATTGCTGGGTATGACTTGGAAGATAAAGTAGCAAGGTAGGTTGTTTGGTTCTTTCTTTCTTTATTGACACGTTCTTTGTCGTGTCCTATCTTGGATGACAGCAGCAGCTTGTACAGCATCTTTCCAACTGAGACATTTGATATTACGTTTGATAAGTTAGATCATGCTTTAAGTGGATGCAATGCTACTAACTACATTTCTAAAATCATTTTCGCCTCTTATCATTTATGAAGCAAACAAACAACAACACTGCCCTGTGGTACCCCGCTAGTCACAGATACACATGACGATTCCATACTATTTACCAGCACACACTGTTTGCAGTCATGCAGAAAGTCTCCAATCCACTCTCGGACACTTCCCCAAACCCCATACCCTTCCAGTTTAATTCTTAGCTTTTCATGGGTTACACTGTCAAAAGCCTTGGCAAAATGTAGGTAGTATATAGTCGATATTTCTGCCTTGTTCTAGAATTTGAGTCGAAACATCCAGTACCTTGAGTAATTGTGTTAAGCAGGATTATCCCGGCATAAAACCGTTTTGGCATTCCTTTACAAGGTTGTTTCATAGCCGATGTTCCATCGTGGCATCTCTTATGATGCTCTCTAGTACTTTGCACACTCTGTTGGTCAAGCTCACTGGTCTATAATATTTTGTGGAGTGACGATCGCCCTTCTTGAACATAGGACTCACATAAGCCATCTTCCTGTCATCGGGGACCTTTTGCTCCTCCAGGCATTTGCAAAACAGGATCTTAAGGGGCTTTGCAAGCACTTTACACAGTTCTCTTAACTCTCTGGGTGTACCATATCTGGGCCGGGACTGTTGTGAATCTTTAGCTTCGACAGGTTATTTCTCAAACCTCATCCGAGAGCACAATGTGGGTTAGCACTGCCAAACCATCTCTCCTCAAACGCAGGAAGATTGTTCGCATCCTCTCTTGTGAACACTGATGAAAAGAATTTGTTCAATGCCCCCGCCTTATCCTGGTCAAATTCTGTATAACTACCATCTTCAAGCCTCAGGTCTGATATGCCTACTCGTGTTTTTAATTTTGACTTTGTGTAGCGGTAAAAAGCCTTTGGGTTTAACTTGAACTCCCTTTCAGCCCTTCTACACTCTGACTTTGCTTGGTTCCTGGATCTGGCATACATCCTCCTGTCTTGCTCATCATTTGTCCTAACCCAAGTCTCGAAATCCTGAGTTTTCTTCTTAACTTTGCCAACCGCTGCATGGTTCATATGTAGCAGTCTCCTTGTATTCCTGGGGGCACTGGGTTTGGTCTTGGGTATATATTTATCGATCGAATGGTTAGCTTTACTGGCTATGATATTCAGCATAGTAATGATTCTGCATTCTTATTCCTTAGTAAGTCAGGCCAGTGTACTGTATACTCCTCATCTCCTCCCTCATTCTGTCATAATGAACCAAGTAACAGTTAAATCTGAAGGACAACATTATGTGGTGACTGGTGCTAACTGGGGCTAGGTGTTCCAGATTGGCCACCATACCCTCCTCGTTAACTTCGATGAGGTCCAGCGGTTTGGGTGCTTGCTCCTCTCTATAGTGAGTCAGATCTTTAACATGTTGGAATCGAAAATTGTCTCTCAGTTTCTACAAAAAGAGTGGCTGGATTATTTAGCTAGTTGTCTGTCACGATGGTGACTAGCTCAGAACATTAGCAGCGTAATTTTAATGGTTAAATAAATACAAATACTGCAGGCAGCACTTATCATCTCCAAAATGATCAATCCCTTTTTCAGTGAAGGATTTCTATATAAAACCTTCTGGTGATGCACGCTGAGCATGTAGAATCCAGACAAATGTTCAGTTGACATTGTTGACCGAAGCCAGGTCTTGACACTTCTCAGTGTGCTGCTAAACGACAGCTCTACGTCTTAAGCAGAGGCTGGAAGTGTCAAGGATATCTAGTAGGGCTTCTCAAATAGCAGGAAACAAATCACACTGCTTCAGAAGATCCGTCAAAGACAAGGTTGCACCGGAGTCAGATGCGGTGTTCTGGGAATGTTCACGCTGTGTTCACATTTCAAACCAGGACTGTGACACCTCAGCAAAATTATCGATGTTGTAGATATCAAATAACTGTGCTATTTTTTCCTACAATCAGCAACCATTGCATCTTTTCTCACATTTCCACCACAACTTGGTTTTGCAAGTGAGACATACTGTACTTGGTATACATGAACTCATTGTTCCAGTCTTTTTAGGCAAGCTTATAACTGTCAATAATTTCCATGGCAGTAGGCATAAATAGAAGTAAAAACATCATCCCTAATGGTACTGACCTCAGAGCTTTTCACTATATTAATTTTGCTCTAATTTTGATTTATGAATACCGGTACCTGTACTAGACAAATTGCGCAGTTACCCAAATATTATACAAGAATTAAACAAAGGTTACTGTGATTTAAAAAAATATATGAGAGAAAAGCAGAGCAGGTACTGAATGCTACATACAAATCAGGAAATAAATTTGCTGGAAACTGAAGCATCAATACTATAACATAATAACAGCAATAAAAGAAGGCTACATAATGCCACTTTATTCATATTCTATTCAATACTTGGTACAATGGAGAACCCTGAATGTGATACAACAATGGTACTGTACACAAACATAATAGACCAACCATATGAAGGTTCATATCAGAGATAATCCAAAAACACAAGCATTTACCAATACAGTGAGTTCTGCTATAACGCGTGTTTTGATAACGCGAATTTGCTCTAACGCGATTTATGAATTCGGAACAATATTTGTATAACGCGATCGCTTGTTTGCTATAACGCGATTTTTGCTTACTATTTCTCCAATTTTGTGGTATTAACTGAATATGTGATATCTCCAATTCTGATGATAGAATTGTGATTACGTGATATACAGCATCAACATCAATCAAGACCAACCATATGAAGGTTCATATCAGAGATAATCCAAAAACACAAGCGATATTTTACAAGAACACAATTATCGCGTTATAGCAGAACTACCTGTACTCCTAAAAAATGCTGGCATTCCAATACATCAGATTTCAATAATACAAAAGACCTTCTGATACAGAAGTCTTCCTTTTGCAGTAATATTCCTGCAACAAGTATTCAGTAGTGAGGTAGAAATTTTAATCCACTCAACCTTTTCCACTTCAGCAGCAATACATTTACCAACTGCAACTTTCAAATAAGGATAGATTAGTCTATCCTGTTGGTTCTACAGCATTTTTAGGTTCCTCTAATACATGGGCTTTCTAACATATACTATGCTTATCATATATCTTGCTCACATTAAAGAAAAATATATGAATATATGTAACTATCAGACTAGTACAGTTATGAAGATGGAAAACAGAGATCTTAAAGTCATATGTATTGTATCTATGAAACTTTGCCACTTTTTGAGGTACTGAATTATTCTTACCTATCTTTGCAGTCTCTCTTTTAGTAATTGTATGACTGGTGAATTATATTATTGAGTATTGCTGACTAATTTAGTTTTTCTAATAACAAGAATGGATATTGGAATACATTAAGAAATTAACAATACTGTATATGTTAGGTGGGTAGGGATAGGGATGGACACAGTTGGAAGTGGTGGTGTATGAAGACGTGAGGTAAAGGACATGAATGAAGAGTGTCATATGCATATGATTAAAACAATTAGAGGACTGAAAGAATGGTTCCAGATTGTAGTGCTGTGTGTCGTGTTGCCATGGTTGCTCAATGTTTTTTAAGCAGGGAGATTTGTTTAAGGCGTAGATGCTTTTAATTTTGGCCGAATATTATGATATTCCTGCCACCAATCAAGGATCACATGTACGGTACATCAATTCTAGCTCCATAACCCTCTTCTAACCTTTCAAATCCTTCAACCTTTTACACCCTTTCTCACCCCTTTCTAAATTTTCAAGGTATTATTTCTCCATTACTTCTTTCTACTTTGCCTTGAAAGTGATATTGTTAAGAGATCTAGTACTGTCATTGAATATTATAAGACAATATGCTTGTTTTTGTCTTTACAAGAAAGAAAAAATTGGAAACTGTAGTTATGTTGAGGAAGGGTTCTTCTTATCTCGAGTTTTTGTTTAATTGAAATCAGTCAAAAACTAGCATAGAAATTCCAAGGAGTGTTGGAAAATTTCACTTTGAGATACAGTACTATACAAGACTGCTAAAGTTTCTCAACCTTTCTTCCGTGTAAGTGCCCATTCTGAACCAATTTTACATGTAATATCTTGTTTTGTTTTTTTGTGTGTGTATTTTTACAAAGCCAACTGAAATCCAGTTATATTTTTACGTGAGATAGAGGGGAGGGAACTCCAAGGGGTAGAAGGCTAGGGGTGGGCTGCCTCATGTGTCCCGAGACGGCTGCTACTGTCATTAGTTTTAGCGGATATTTTCTTCTTTCCTCCTCTTGGATTTAGCAATGCTCTTGGCATGTGCTTCCTTTAGTTGTCTTTTATGTTTTGAATCACATGCCATCCTCGTATTCGAGGAGAGAAGGCTGGTACAGCAATACAAGTGAGGTAAAATGAGCGGTGCAGCAGAGTACACACCTCTCCTTGACAAGGCCTGGGACCTCCTGACTAATCTTCTGTCTTGCTTCCCTCTACTTGCCAGAGAGAAAGAGAGTTGCCTGAAATGAATTTCTAAAAAAAATTTTGTGCTATTTAATCGTAATTTGGGAGAAAATACTTTACCACGATCATTCATATGTCTACCCAAGGGGATGTGGAAAGGTGGGTGGATGTGGGGGGGGGAGGGAACCATACATAGCTGCATAAATATTATGAATATCACTATAAAACTCCATTCACATATGGCCATAGGCAGCACCTTTGCTCAGTAATTTTTTCACTGTTTATGATATTTTTTTTTCATTTTTCATCGATCTAAGCCGACGATCCCCTTAAGGGAAAAAGGAATGTCATAGCTGGTAATATGGATATCAAAAGGACTGAAAAATGGTGACGGGGAGATGACACTGAAAACATAAGTGAAAGAGAAAAAATGTGTTGTCGGGGGTAGGACAGGAGGAGTATGACAAAGACTCAGCAAATATTACCCACTTTGTGAATGAAATACTGTACAGTATATTATAATGGCTAAATACTGAATAATGAAAAAATAAATATTTCATCCTTGGATAAACTGAATACAGGTACAGTATATAAATATATAATAATATATTACCAATAAACAATTGTCCAAATCCAGCAGATATCAAAATTATCATAGATTTTTTCATGCTTTACATTCTTAATCCTCAGTACTCAAGAGAACACACACACACAAACACACACACTCCAAGAAGGTTGCAGACAGGTTATTGACTGTATACTAGTGGCAACCACACCTGTACCACAAGGTATATTATTTATGAGACTCTTAAGAAGTACACATAAGGTGGACATGCTTGTCCCTAATGAATAGAAGTACTGTAGTACGTTGCTCTCAATGTTGCTAATGAATAAGGCTCAGAAAGAAATCCAAATCAAGAACTCAATTCAGATGTATGCACCTCAACAATGTGGGCAAGATCTTCAACCACTGTATAATTTCTGCCAAGGGCTAAATGTGTGACATGAAGTAATGGTTCTTAAATCATATCGTGACAATGTTAAATGTATTCTTGGGTATAGAAAAGTCATATTGACATGATATCACACAATAACTAAAACTGGTACACAACTGTTTTTTTTGTAATTTCATATACAGTACAGTATTCTAAAATAATATCTCCGTTAGCTGGAATGCCCCAAACCCGGAACTCTCCGATAACCGGAATTGAAATTTTCTCGGAAAATCATTACCAAAGCTGTAATTTTCCAGGAATTCTGCTTTTGGGAAAGAATTTCCGAGGGGCACATTTTCTGGGAAATTTTCCTAGTACCCTGTACTCGGAAAATTCCGGGGAGGAGGGATTTGTTTCCAGGCTTGAGAGATAAAAATCAGGTGCATTTTCGGAAATTGTGAGAGAAATTTTCCGGTACCTGGAAAATTCCGGGGATGGGAGATATTTTTCCAGGTTCAAGAGATGACGTAATGCACCATTATGGAACTTCAAAGAAAATTTTTCCATTACCTGGAAAATTCCTGGGAGGAGGGATTGTTTACTGCTTTGAGAGTCGCCTTGTTACCCAGAAATTTCCCATTGGCTGAAGTGTTCTGCACCAATTGTTCCACCTAACGGATATAACACTGTACTGTACACGAGGTCAGTCCGGAAAGTATCCAGCCATTTATTATTAAAAAAATATTGCTTACCTAGGACAATGGCGCCTTAGTCCCCTTCAAAGTACTCCCCTTGGGACCTCACACACTTCTCCCAGCGTCTCTTCCACTTTTCAAAACAGTCCTCTTTCGGGATCTTCATCAGCTGCCTTGTCGCATTCTCCTTAATCTCGTTCACGGTCTGAAATCTCCTTCCTTTCAATGGCGATTTTAGCTTTGAGAAAAGCCAGAAGTCGCAGGGAGCCAAATCTGGGCTGTAGGGGTGCTGAGAGACCTGGGTGATGCGGTGTTTTGCCAAAAAACCCTGTACGAGACGTGAAGAATGGACAGGCGCATTGTCATGATGAAGCTGCCAGTCACCACTTGCCCTCAGCTGCGGTCATTTTCTTCTTATCGCATCCCTCAGCCGGCGAAGAACTTCGATGTATTACTCCTTCGTTAATGTTTGGTCATTGTAAATGCGACGGTCACACGGTACCCATGCTCACTCAACGGCGTCTGCCGGGCATCTGAGTTGTCCCACGGGAGTGTGGCTGTTCACGCATGTGCAGTACGGTCCTCTCTGAGTGGCTGCCAAGTTACATCAAGGCCGCGCGACCAGTTCTCACAATATTCACAATGGCTGGACACTTTCCGGACAGACCTCGTACACTAAAAAATTATGTGGCAGATGGCAGATCACAATGTTGAAGTGAGAAGTTGTTTGTTATTTGTGGCAATAAACTGAGCATCCATCAAAACAAGACCTATGTACAGGCAATAAAAAAGTATCGACCACCCCACCATGCATAAAAATATGAAACATCATGGAAAAACTGTAAATGTATGCCTTTGGTTACCGGAGTCATTTGGTTGTTATCGATTATTTCCTATTCCATCGACATTGGGGTGATCAATACTTACTTACTGACTGTACCAATAATACAATACTTTTAAATGTCTAATACAGCTCTGGTATCATCATATATCCTTTCTTTACCTTCAATATTTCATTTACTAGTTTTTATAAATTGTAAATGGTAAACCTATTAAAAATGCAAATAAAAGCACTCACTAGGAAAATATGTTTAGAATTTTTTCTTAATGTTAGTAACAGTTTTTTCTCCTTAACTATGCCTCTGATGAAGATTTTGCAGAAGAAAAAGTGTTTCCTAGTTTTAGGTTTAAGCCCAAAGAACCATTAGGATTTACAAAATGAAAAAAAAAAATCACCCCTTCCCTTCAAATGCTATTACCAATAATCATCAACGTTTGCCTAATTTTAGCAGTAACAGACCAGTGATCACTGCTATGATGGTAACACTCAAGTTAGAACTCAAATTGGCTACATTTATGTGCTTTTGATCCAAACCAATGGACAAGGAACACTATTTCTTCAGTTTGATTTCTCTAAGGAAAGTAGCTTATTCATCAATGCTATCTCAAGGAATACCATACAAACTTAGATAATATCACTGGTAACAGCATAAGTTCAAAACATAAGACTGCTCCACTCTCTACAATGTGTAGAAACGAGGAGGCTAGTTCCCCCCCAAAAATTAATAAAACAAATGAGTCCAGTAACAATGTTCTGCATAAATAAATGATTACATTAATATCTCCGTTAGCCGGAATCCCTCAAACCCAGAACTCTCCGATACCCGGAATATTCGGGAAAACTCCGGCGTTGGGAACGATTTTCTGAGGGGCACATTTTATGGAAAATTTCAATAAATTTTTCCCAGTACCCGGAAAATTCCAAGGAAGGGGGAATATTTTTCCGGCTTTGAGAGATGAAAATCAGGGGCATTTTCTGGAAATTCCGAAAAAAAATTCCGGTACCCGGAAAATTCTGGGGATGGGAGACAGTTTTGTGGGTTTGAGAGATGATGTAATGCATCATTCTGAAACTTTTGAGAAATTTTTCAGTTACCCGGAAAATTACGAGGATGAGGGACTTTTTTCCGGGTTCGAGATATGAAATAATGCCTCATTCTGGAACTTCCAAGAAATTTTTTCCATTACCAGGAAAATTCTGGGGATGAGGGATTTTTTTTTCTGGCTTTGAGAGTCGTCTTGTTATCCGGAAATCTCTCATTCCCGGAAGTGCTCTGCACCAATTGTTCTGGCTACCGGAGATATCACTGTATTCTACTTATAAAAAATAATGATCATATAAATGAAAAGGATTTCCTAACACTGAAGATCTAAATGCATCAGTCAACAAAATATATAGTGAATATATTTTAAATATTCACAACAGTATAGCTATCGTATTACTGCCAAGTTCACAAATAAATTTTTATAGTCAAACTTGGGAATGAGCTTATTATTATAACATCTTCCACAAACAGGGAGACACAGGTACTCACATAATGATTGGGTCATAAATACAAAAGTACCTGACAATTTCAGGATATATCTTAATATATGCACACTGCACAATATTTGAAGTGCTGCACTAGAAATTTTCATATCTTAATTGTATCTCCCTGCGAAGCTTCTGTAATACGGTTAATTGCCAACTGAGTATTAGCAATCTCAGTAAGTGCTCTATTAATTTCTTCTAACAATTTATCACCTCGGTCAATACCTCGCTGGAGTCTCTGGGCAGCCTCCTCCCCTTCTTGTTCTAACACCCGCATACTTGCTGTCTGTAAATTACATCATATATTGTATATAAATGTGAGCAGGACCGAAAGTGAAATTTTTTTTATGACCTTCGTGGTTTGCAAACTATGATAACAGGTAAAATGTCTTTCAAAGTAATCTAATGTCTTTCAAAGTAATCTAATGTCTTTCAAAGTAATCTATGTTTTAAAGTTTTAGATACATAAAAATTAATAAACAAAGACCTACACTGGCAGGGATCATGAACAGTGCAACACTCACATTTATCAAGGGTGTGTAACTTTATTTTGTACAGTATTACAGTAAAATCTGGGCACATTAATAATTGGTTACACTATTCCCTGAGTATTCGCAGGGGATATGTTCTCAAATTGGCCACGAATAAAATCATCTCAATTACCTGTACTGTATACAACAACCCTGACACGCAAGCTATTTACCCTTTCATATCACCCAATATATTGCAACACCACAACTTTCCAAACTTATTTCGTATTTAGAAAAGTCAATATTTTACTACAGCAATAATAATGTCAATGACACCAATTTTTATAGAAATTTTTGGGGAATATTCACCAACTGATCACATGGATCCTGTAGCCATATCACAAGTTCTGACTCAGTTACTATAAAGACATTTTGGATGGACAACAATACATTGTGTATCGTAAACATATGATTTGTTAAAAAGTTTTTTAAAATTATGGAATTAGTGTTGAAGTGAGTTAAAATGGTGTCTAAAGTGGACCGTTTGGGAGAAAAATCACTAAAATCTGAAAAAAAGGGAAAATTCCTGAAAATTATCTCGCCTCGGGCTATCACGTGGCAGTACGTACAGGAATACAGGTATCTGTCATTTAGCCATTGGGATGTGTTCCTGTAAAACAGATCACTCGGTGATTTGATCGCTGAGCGAACAGAAATGAGAAATAATACCGTAAACAAGGGAAAACGAGGAATAATATCCATGGAGATGGCACGTAATTGTGTAGTGAAGTCGCTGAATGACCGATTCACCACCCATTAGCACTCAGAGCTGGTGAGGCTGAGCTGTGAGTATGTTATTGTTCAACTCATAATTTTGGGTCGACATGTAATTTTCTTCATTCTCTTTTACAGGGGGTCCCCAACTTACGGACGCCCACTGATACGAACAGAGTTAAGCTTGAAATTTACAATATTTTATTTACCTGATGACTCAGTACAAACAGATGCATCATCTGCTAGGTTTAAACCACTTGGTTTACATCATTGGTTTAAATCAGCCAACCCTGCAAGTTACCCTCTTATTAACCCAGAACAGTGTTTTACATTGGTATGAAACTCGATCTCAACAGCTTATATACATGAGACTGCGCCTAGGGTACAGGTACCTATGGGAGTACATTGGCAACCCTGAGCCTCACCGCACTGTTTGTAAACTTTGTGGCCAACCCGACTCTCACACCCTCTCTCACTACATCCTCACTTGCCCTATGACCTCCTCCTATAGGTCCCCAGCCGTTACCAACACCTCTTCCCTCCCAGACCAGATATCCCTCCTCCTAGTCACAGGCCTGGCATTTGACATTATTAGGGACCTGCCACTCTTTGCCATAAACAGATAAAATGTACCGGGAACTTTCCCCCCACACACTCATCATTCTCTCACTTTATGTAACCTGACAAAACCTATGACCCTTCAGGCTTTTATGCCCTTAATGTACGAGTCATAAAGGCAAGTATGAACTTTTCATACTTCCCTGTTGGGCGCTGTAAACGCTTCTGCGCTTCACCTTGCACAGGATGTAAGGGGGTGCCCAATAAACTAGCCCCCTCGGGGCAAATCTGAAATCTGAATTGGTATGAAAATTGTAGGCAGCTACTATGAGCTGTAGTACAACCAAAAAAACTAGTGCTCATTACTGTGCATGGCCCTGCTCAACACACTCACTCTACCACACAGTTTCACAGCAGAAAACCATAAATACTTTTAAACTTTATACATACAGTATGATCATTTTTTGTACATTTTGTGGCTACCGGTACCTGTATGTAAGATAGTGTGTACATGTAACTAAGCACCAAAATTTAGAAAATTACATATACTGTACTGTACTACCCAAAATTATGAGCTGAAAAATAACCACAACAAATAGCTCCCAGGTGGGGAATGGTGTCAGTTACACCAAGGGTTTACTGTACAGTAATACCTGTGTATAAGATGTAAGTCAATGGGCTAGTAGGCCCAGTTACTCGTTCTTTTGTTGTAGTTGCAGTCATAAGAAACGCATCCCGATGAACAATAAGGATTCCCTGTACGGTAGTCAAGGCCACAAGTGCTGAATATTCTCCAGAAACTGATAATAAATCCCCATGTAACAGATTCACAAAGTCCACATTGCAAGAGAAAACAATTTGCATCGAGCAATAAGATTAATAAGAAATATGGAATTCTTCCTGAAAACTGGCCAAGTTATGGGCCCTTGAAACCATGCCTGTAGTTAGTGCTGAAAATGGAAGATGTTTTGCAGCATGTTTTCTGAGTGAATATATTTCAAGCTTCCTTAACCCTTATGCCCCGGGCTAGGGTGCTGCTGGCCGTGTCCCCCCATGCGGGGGTAAATCAAGAAAAATCTAAACTTTTCCAAAAATAATTTTTAACATTTTTAAATGATAAAACAATCAAAAGGAAGTAAGAAAAACTATATATTGACCCTCTAGAAACTTCCCTGTGGCCACAGTGGCGAGGGAGAAAGAGAAGTTGTTTTGACAGCAGACGTTCGTGGTCACTACGCACTTAGCGACCATTTTCTGCTTGCTTTTGAGTCCAGGATGGCCAGTAATGCATATACTTACTGATCATAATACTTATTTCCTATAAATAATTTATTTAGAATATTTTATTTGCATTATTTTTCATAAAAAGTGCTCGGCACAACACACGCAGTCGGTCGCCAGGCTGTCTGGCTGTCTTTGTGTTTGGTAGATCAAGTAATGCATAAAATAATAATAATTCCACAAATAAATACATTTATACCACAATCATAGCATTTTTTACAGTAATACTACACTACAATATACAACTACACTACTTTTAGCAATATTACTTTGATACAACATGATAAAATAGACAAACAATGAAAATGAAACAAACAAAAGTAGGTAATTATGTTCAGGAAGCTTCCCTGTGGGCGAGTGTGTGGTGTGACAGGCAAATAGTCACACTGGAACCTGATAACCCGAGCTGGGCATTTAAACAGTGGCAGGAAAAGGCGTGCATTCTGGAACATCACCCAGGGCGCGCTAGTCAGGCGTTCCGGTACGTCACCCGGGGCGTAAGGGTTAATACACCCAGTGAAGCTGACATTTATTATGGGTATTTAAATGAACCAGTATTTTGAGAACTTGGGGAGAAAAGATCCTTGCACACAATGATTTACTGTGTGAGATACTGTAGTTACAATACTTAACACAATAAATTAGTATTTACAATGTTCACATCCCTTCTACAAAACCTGTTCTCCCACAACTATCATCTAGGTCCAGACTTTTAAATCTTCTCACCAGAGTAATATCAACTACATCTAACTACAGTACTGTATAGGCTACTGTTTTAAAATGAATAAATATACTTCACTGACTTGTTATCTCATATTGAGCATGAAACCCAAAAGATTTACAATGACCATTATTTCCCTCACCTGAAGTTCAGCAGAAGAATCCTCTGATGGTAATGATTCAATCAGGGCATCTATATCTTTGGCATTCCGTGCAATCACAGTTGCAAATACTCTCTTGTGTTCAATCATGTCTGAAGAAAAAAGAAGAGCATGTATACTTATAGTATAGTACCCCATTATCAAATAAGTATGAAGTGCTATCTTCACTCTTCACTCTACTCCTACTACCGGTAGACACTACGTATTGCTTTTTAATGAACAAAAACATTCATTTGTGCAGACAAATGTTCAGTGACATATCTCTTTCTGAAAACCATTTATTGAGACATCATACAGAAACAAATAAAATCACGAGGAAAACAGTGATATAACTAAAAAAAAAATTTAAATCTTTTCAACAGCCTTATCATGTATAGTACTGTACTATATGCAAATGAACACAAAAGAAAACTATGAGAAGGAACCTGGCTGAAGGTACAGCTACTCCCCGACTTACGACGGGGTTAGGGACCCAAATCCAGGTCGTAAGTCGAAAATGCTTAAATAATACATAGAAAATCTAAAATGGGTGTCTCTTTTTCTTCTCAGCACCACAAAACTCTCACTTTTAAGCTTGCCAGCCATTTTAAAGTGAATTACAAAAGAAAATTTTGTCAGTACACAGTGCAATCACTGACGTTGGGACTCGAAAATACGTAATTTGACAAAATTTTGGTACGACTGAGGCAGGTCGTAAATGCGGGTGGTCGTAAATCGAGTAGGTCGTAAGTCGGGGAGGAGCTGTATAGTGTAATTTAAAAAATAATTACAGTATATGACAGTAAAGCATTTACAATGTAAAATATGTAATGATGTTACATGCTGAACATATGCTCATCTTATTGGTAAACAATTAGGCAAACAAAAGATGGTAACACCAATTATATTAATGGTTACCACTACAGTGGTACAGCTCCACTGAACCACCATTGTAAGTGGACTAATGGTCAATTAATAATATTACTCAATACTGTACTAATTATTGTATAGTTTATGGAACACAAAACAGAACACTAACCATCAGGATTTTCATTTTGTGATGGAGTCTTGCCACTTTTATCAAAGCTGCATGGAGCTGAAGAATTGAAGAGACACCCAATGCTGTTGTACAGATTCTCTGCTTGCTGAAACACAAAACTTTATGTAGATTCAAAATGGAGTCACATGGTTTATACATAATACTATCTAAATAATATAAAGTTCTTTAACAATTGCTGTTCCTGTGTTCTACTGAATTCCTTTGTACAATACAATGTTAGGTGGGTGAGGTTAGATTAGGTTAGGTTTTTATTTTTTTTTAGGTTTTCACAGAGTTTGACCTTCAACTTTTTTCCAATTCTTCAACTATTGCTCATTTCCGAGAGCAATGAAGGTCTTATTTGTTTTTAACTCGATGATTTACACTAGAAAAACCTATTTTCAATATTCAGTTGCCTGGTGTCATTTTCTAAATATCAACCTTTAATTTTTTGGCCAATATTTCATCTTCCTATTTAAAGTATAAAAGGCACCAAAACTGTGTTGGCCACAGGGATTGAGGTCGGGCATGATAGCCAGTGTCGGGTCACCCCAATTGTTCGTGATAGTCTTATCAGAGGCAGGCTCACTTCTGAGCAATTGCAATGGTAAGTTTATTAACAGTTTAACATTCACTTGGGGGAAATTTTCAGGGATTTTATCCATATTCGTTTGTAACAAGAAAAACTACACCAAGATAACCCTGTTTTAGTAATAAATTACCCATTATGGCATAAAACTAATCTTTACCCTCAAATATCCGCCAGTGTATACGTTAACCCAAAATTTCTGAAAAGAAATCCTTGCCATTTGGGTAATTATATAGGACTTACCTGCAAGATAAATTGATTGAAAACAATTATAAAAATGCAGGATTTTCATTTTTATATTATAGTGGACACTTGTAGTTTGTGGAAATATGTTAAAAATTTTATATTTTTAAAGTAAACGCTACTTAACATTAGTGGGTATGACTAACAGACCTAACCAACCTAACCTACCTAAGCTTACCTAACCTAACCTACCTAACCTTACCTAACTTCCCCGGTATATTAAACAAAAAGAACTTAGGATGATATGGTGAAATTTGAGGCATTTTCTGGACGTGAGATTATACGGCTGCATCATCGCTATGCAGCCCTGGCGGTTAGTCCTATATATTAACGACCATTCATAACATGCAACACAGTATTGTACATCTGGGAAAACAAAAATAACAACACACCAAGTCTTGATGAACGGCTGCTATGGTCACACAGGAACCCCGCCACAGTCATTGTCAGACTCTTACTAACTGTCATTAAATACCTATATAAATTGTGAGTTAAACAAAGTAATTATATTAACACCTGGTTGACAGCGTCCTGGAGCTGCGACAAGCGGTCCGCCATGTTGGTTGTTGTGATGTCAGCTCCCTTTCTCCACCAATCAGCGTTCAGTATTACTCGCGGCCAATCAGAGTTCGTCAAACTCTGAAGGATCAAGTGTATAAATGTTTACTTCTATTTATTTTATGTTTAACCTTCTAAGATAAACGCGAAATCTACTATATTTTTAACTGTTAGTTTCAATAATCGAAATAATATAACATAAAGTAGAGATATTGATTTAGGTGAATAAGAAGCCGATGAAAAGAGCCAACTCTTCGTACACAATAAAATATAAATTTCAGGCGTGAATACTCTACTGAGGAATAGCCTCTGAAGTGGATATGTGGTTTTATCTTTTCTAGTGTCATTTTTATTATAATTAACTACTCACACTAGTGTGAATACTCTTGAAAATTTCAATATAAAATTTTGTGGTGGAAGAATACTTTGTGCCATGCTGTGAGGAGAGACGAGCTTTACTGCAGCTCGTGTGATGCTCTGCAGATGGGAGATATTTTCATCCATCATACGGTAAGTTCCTGTCTTGTACCCAGTACTTTGGACATAATTCAGATGCGTTGCGACGGTCGAGTGGATACAGCGCTCACCTATTCATTGGGTGGGTGGTTCACTGGATCCATCCCGGGCACACCCAGTTCACCCAGCAGTAAATAGGGCACCTATGTTTACAACTTGGGGAACTGAATGCGGTTGTGTGCTGTACCAGTCATGCTGCTTCCTTGTGTACCGAAGTCTTAGTATATATAGTGTGCTGTATCCAAGGGGACCTACTTTCACTTCACCCGAACTTTAGTGGGAACGGATTGATTTTTTTTAGTCCTCACATTGCGTTTGGCGGCATATGAGGTTTGTCCATTGGGTGTCGAAGTAGTGTTTAATTCACCTGGTAAGTTAGGTCTGTGGGTAAGGATGTTGGTGATGGGGTGAGATCAGTCCTTAAGGCTTCTCGATGGAAGGGGTTAGATACCGATCCCAGAGTATGGCTACCTATCATGGCTGCTTAATTAGTGTCACACTAGCTAACACAGACACCCAAAGCTTAAAAATTTTAGTTACATAAATTTTTATATCACTATCAAAGTAGTAAACAGCTTGATTTTGGCCACTAACGGGATCAACATCGTGAAAAAATATCGAGACCAATGTTACGACATACCGTAAGCAATCTTGTTTTGTGACGATGTTGTTTGATGAATTTGTATTATCAATCATACGAAACACCCTATCCTGACCGAGTAATATGAGATTTGTTTCTATTGCAGTCTAGAGAAACAATTAAATGGACCAACCAGATTACAAAATGGTGGCCACTTATACAGTATGTGCTACACAAGAGGCGTAATGTGTTTTGTCAGGAAGAACCAGTAGTCTTGCAATGTTTGCCTCAAGATCATGAATGTTGGCCAATAATGACTCATATGGATGCTTGATATATATCATGAGCTCACGTGGAGGTTATCATAACATTAAAACCAACCAAAGCTAATGTTACTCTTCCTCATAAGTCAGGTAGGTATTATTTGCCTCCAGAAAATAACTTTAAAGTGTTCACCAGAAGTAAAACTTACACCAGCCTTTATCTACCACTTGTTAAAATAAACGTTCATGGCGCCTATGAAAATTACTCCTTATGTTTTCTACTTATCATAGATTTCTGGGGTGAAAAATTACCGTCTCTTCACCTGAAGGATTTCCAGGAGTCGTTGGTCCTGCCGCTCTCTCGTCGACCCAGCCGCTCACCGCCACACTCATCCTCTGTTGTGACACGGTGAGACTCCCATACCAAGCTCCACACATTGTTATGCACATAATATGTTGTCTGTCTTGTTTATGTTGCTCGTGTAAATTTGATAAATATTTTGTCATAAGATTTGTTGAAACACAATCGCTTTACTGTTTCTTTAACTCACACTACACTTGGGGGTGATTTGGTAATATGGGTTCGTGTAGCGGCAGAAGTGTTGGTCATTGCAAGGGATCATACTATGTTGGGTAGTGGTCAGGGGTCACAGTAGGCGATATATGAAGGTATAAAGGACAGCAAAGACTCCCATACTTCCAGTTTATTGAAGGGACAGGGGATTCCCCATTGTTCAACTTGCCAAATGAACATAAATATTGCAACCTTCCTTTACGTCACAGCCGTGGTGAGGGTCAGCAAGATAATGTCATCTACGGTCAACTCAATTATTTCTCATTAAGACATGATGTGCAAATCAATCCAAATCTAAATACATAATTTCCGTAATTTCGTGAAATTCGTTCCCAGTTGCATTTGGTGATTGTCCAAATATAATACAGTAGTAAGCAAAGTAAGTGATTTTGGGATGGACAATTTTAAAGATACAAACTCAGGTTGGGCAAGTGAAATTTCTTTACCTTATTCACACTGTCAAACTAAGCATAGTCAGGGATGTAAAGAGAAAAAACAGGAAATTGCTCGAAAATCGGAGCATGAATTTCTCTCGCACTATTTGTCCAATCAGAACTCAGGGATTCTACAGCCATGGTTATGATTGCACGATCACTGCCGAGAAATGTTATCAGTCGCATTAAATCAGACTTTTTACCCGTTTTCTAGCAATTTCAAACGCGATCTGCGTCGCATTATGAAGACTACACACATTTTAGGGTATTGGAATGACCTTATTCATAATGCAGGATTATAATAAAACCAAGTTTAAAAAAAGATCTAGGAAAAAATGCTACATACCGAGAAAGGAGGACGGTGACGGGCACAGCCGACCGTCACATCCCGCACGTAACATTGTCAACCACTAACTGTACATATTTACAAACAATATGGCTTGTCAAATTAATTCCATTCTTACATTAAACAAAAAATCTTAAAATATGAGCATTTTCAGTACATTGGTAAAAGAATCCCAATATTGTACAAATGTATGGCAAAGTGGATCACCCACCAAGAAGACTGGGTGAACATAATGGTACAGTAACAATGTTAAATGTTTGAGAAAATATTAAGTTCCTCAGAGCAAGATGGCCAAATGTCGCTCAAGAGCTCGCCTTCTGAGTTACTTTAGTAATTATATTCAGTGTTCAACTATTATTGCTCTTTCTTGACGCCTAGACAATTTGCACTTATGGACACTTGTAACACAACTATTTTATCCTGCCATATATGAGAGAAGAAGTATTGCAAAAAGTCCTTCCTAATATATATATATATATATATATATATATATATATATATATATATATATATATATATATATATATATATACTAATGAATGAATTTTCTATGAAGATGTACTATAGATACATGCTCAATTGTAATAAAATGATGTACAACTGAAGAAGTAAAAATGTTGAAAAAGTGTATCGACATTAAAAAAATAATAAATATATATATTTATATATATATATTTATATATACTGTATATATATATGCAAATAATGTGAAGGAGTGTGGTGTGGGCAGCGTGGTGACGGCCGCGAGAAGTGGAGTCCTCTGGTGGTGCGCGCGTTCCTGCCTCTTACAGTTACACTCATGTGGGACCTGCTGAAATCTGGTCAGCTGACGGACATATATTTCCTGTATTAGCTGGACATAAACAACCAGCACTCAAATTTAGCACTAATAAAACTTAGTAACAACGTGCCATATAACTTTGTACTCATCAAGCTATATAATAATAGCCATGTACACTGGTAAAAATAAAGCCATCGAGAACGAAGAGGGTCTGCTAGGAGTACTGTACCTCCATCAGTAACTTGGCAATATCCCTCCTCAACCAGACAACCATGAACCATCACACGACCAGCACACAGCAGACACTGTTCATTGTCTTCCTTCACGTGGATTATCACATTATTTAATCCCTGGTAAGTATATAGTTTGTCCACCTACAACTCGTTGAAATAATTAAAAATAAATTTGAATTAGCAACTAAATTTAAGTATTATAGAGTTTCTTTAAAAAGGCAGTGGTGTTCTTGGTCGTCCATGGGTGTACTAGTACGGAAGTTCTACCACGAGATAAAAACATTCCTTCCACTGACAGTCCAACACTATACTAGGCCGTCACTCCACCCTGATATTTAAGTACACCGATATTCTTATATCACTGTTATTGCTCACCGCTACTTCGAAATTTCGTTTTAGATACCTATTCATATTTTGCCTTTACAATTATTTTCTGCAGGAATCATTGTCTGTTCATGCACACACACACACTCCCCCCCCCCTGTTGCCACAAGCATCGAGGGGGCGGCGGCTTCTTCATTTATTGGACAACAAACATTCCTTGATGCACATGGTTTCTGAAAGCATGATGTTAATGGGTCTTTGCATGTTGCAGTTTAAGAAGGTCGATTATTTAGAGCAAGTGCAATAGCCGACCTGTGAACGCATGCGAAAAAGTCACGTATGCTGCCCAGGGAGGGGCTAAAATCATTTTGCCCTCAGGATGACTCTATACAGATAACCAATATATTCCTCTCCACAGACTTTTCTTTGATATTGCAAAAATCAGTTTTATTGTTTCTTAGATGTATAGAGCAAATTACTGATGCGTGTACGTGCTTCTGCGACACAGGAGCTGTTTCCAATCATTGTCTCGTGGCAGGGTGTTTGGCTCTTCCCAGCTGACCCGCTAATATTAACGATTCTACGTTACCAACCACGAGAGAGGACCAGCACTTCTCACGGCATATAATTGAATAACAGTTGAATATATCACATACCATGGACAGAAACTGGATTCATATAAATGATAAGTACATCAAAATCAGTATAGTTACAGCTAAACTGATAAATGATAAACAGCCAGAATCACAAACCTTAAGACGTCGTAGTAAAACAAAATGTGACTAGAAGTATTGAGTGCAGGTTAGACTAGCAGGGCCACCATGACACAGCACTTATGACTAGCTCAACACAAGCTTGTGACTACAACATTATAATGTAATAACATGTTCATCTGCCTCCCAGCTGACGCTCATTAACCCTCTCATGATGATGCCGGAAATAACACGAATGTAAAAATATAGATGAAGCTCTCAGCTACGGAACTCTGTCATTAATTAAGGCTACAAGAGAAATTCTGTCTCAACAAAATCTACTGAATTGTTGCTTTCAAGATGCCGCCATGTTTTGTGTGTGTGAGTGAAGGTGGTTGTGACAGCCAGAAGTGTGTTAGGCGGGAAGAAAGTGGTTAATTGCTGGAGTTGTTTTTATGGCAGCGTTTTCCTTATATACTGTGAGTGGCTGACTGAAGAACATAACTGTGATGGTCGTGACGCTGTGCTGAAATGAACGAGTTGTGGTGCGACTACTTCTGTAATCAGTTTAATTATTTTTGTGAGGAGAAGGTGTGGTGGGAACTGATCCAGTGTTGTTGTGAAGGATGTGGTGAGGGAGTTTGAGCACATGTTCGGGTGTAAGCAGTTGTGCTTGCTGGTGGTTGGTGACTCGTACACAAGGGTTCTACACTGGCATGTTACTGCTGCTATAACGGGGTACAATGAGGTGGTAGCATATGTGTTCGTTGAAGTGAGTGAAAATTCTCTTGTAGATGTAGTTAAGGTTTAAAACACTCATGATAAAAATGTATTAAAGTATAAATGAATCAGACGATGGCAAACACTTGAGTATCCTAGGGTACTGGGCACGGTGGTGAGGGAGCTCCTCTATCTCATGAAGAGAACCATTGAATTACCAGTGCAACAGCCTATATACTCCAGGATAAAGCCTTCACCATCTCTGACCTTAATAAAGCACGTTGCTTAATACTAAAGGTCAACTCGAGACGGCTGGGAAGGTTAGCATGTATGTACCGTAGTTTAACTCTCGCCCGCCACAGTTCATCACGTCTGGCGCGGGTCTCAAGTCACCAAAAGTTGTACAGGTTTCACAAAATTAGGCCCTAATTGGAATAATAAATGATGGGGTAAAATTAATAATTACACTGAGACAAAAATATGAGATCATACTTGGTGTGTTTCTTGTTCACATAATAATAAATGGGATGGCAGGTAAACAATCGAACAGTCGCCCCACGGCTGCTCACCTGTGTCGACTCCTAGGGCGCCGCGTAGCAGGTATGTGCCCGATGAGGAGCGACTCAAGCTCACTCCAGGTAATACACACCAAATTTTCAACCAAAAAGGGAAATATCACACTGACTTCATGATATAAGACTGACAAGAGAAGGGTGTGTTTAGAGCCAATGAGAGCTATCTTTTTCGAGTGTATACCTAACATCACTCTTGTATTATACGGAGAAATATGAACTACTTGTTTCTTAGTAATGATAAGTGAAATAATCTAATCATGGTAAAGGGGACGCACCACCGAGCCATCTTGGGCCAGAGACTCTCAAAAGTGTGACCTTGCTAGTAAGATGAAGATCGCTGATTGGTTGCCTGTGTTTTATTTATTCCTTGTACTCATATGAGGCAACCAATCAGAGCGCAGACTGTGATCCTCTAAATGTTATACCTGCCATGACACATCCTGGGTTCTAAAGATTATACTATCTCACTGTCTTCACTTGCTATTTAGAATGTGTCAGATGTAATTACTTGTGGCCATCACTCTTACAAGATATTCAGCGCCTCTAGAGAAAAATTTATGCATTTTTTAAATCAACTGCTCCACAGACGCTTTTTATTCTATATAAAAGTAACCAAAGCTCTCTTAGGATTCAACACCTGATCTACTCTACACGTTGATGCACTAGGTGGGCAGGAAGCGTAATCTAGCGCGCGCGGTGTTACCTCCTTCCTTCACCTCCTCACTCGCCACCACAATCCTTCGGTCTTCCTGGTATGTCGAGTTAAGATCTAATAGTACAGGTAAATGAGTCAATACGTATGTAGTGTTTCACAGTTTTAGTAGTGAGTGGACAGCGGCCTCCAAGATCAGGAGTTAGAATAATTTACCAGTGACTGTTATGACAGCATCAAGGGTGAATTCATTATGTCCAGGCTGGACGAGCATTGGGGCAAGTTCACGTCACTCAAGAGCCTTTGTATGCCCTGTTATCTACCAGCAGCTCACAAAAGAGAACTCAGCGACCGCCCGACACAACAGAGAACTGACTGACTGCCCGACACAACAGAGAAATGACCGAACGCCCAACCGACCGACCGCCCGAACGACTAGTAAGCTGACAAGTGGCGAAGATAATAAGTAAATAGATATTAAGTTAGGAGTTGGGTGATGCAGCCAGTCTGAGTGACCACCTGTTTCTGTCATAACCATTAATACACAGTTCAATCTTCCCCGGCCGGGTGCTGCTGGCCCATTTAAGGGGTACCATCTGTAAAACCACTCTCACCAACCACTGCCACAGAATAATATAAACTAAGATATTATTCTGCGTGTTGGAAATTGTTCAGCGCAAAAACCTTAAATTGGACAAAACAGAGCAGTAATTTACTCCTGGTATTCGTTTGTTATCTAAAACCAGTTGCCTAATTCCACTACCAGCATGTGTTGTCTGCAGACTGACCAGCCACATCTATCATATTTTCATTATAAGCAAAAGGAAAGATCCACAGACATATCTACTTAACCTTGAATAAACTATCATCATTGCTCTAGAGAGAATGACGTCACCCATCTAAGGAACTTCCAGCATCTATAATATACAAACAAATAGGTTACAACTGCTCTAAGATGACCTAAAAACCAAGTAAAGCAACCGACCAATTATAAATGAGAGTGATGAAGCCTCCCTCAGTATAACATTACAAAAGCAATCTTCTCCCAGTCATAGTTGGAGCTACTTACAAGTGCAACACTAAATTAGCCTTGGTCGACAAGGGCAACACAATACTACCCTGGGGAGGGTGATACGATTGACTTTTCTCTCATTGATACTTCTTTTGTTCGTCCTCTGCCCAGCGGGACCACTTGGTAGTCAACACATCCTAAAACTTCACATTATCCCTTTAAGAATATTTCTACCCATCACAATTTCTCCTTTTTTCCCGCCATTTACCTTTTCTTAGTTACTGTTTATTTTGTGCAACCTTGACGCAGCGACCTTCCACGAACTTCACCTACTGTATGTGTAGTTTTTACTGAAATGACGTGACAACTGTTTTTATTAGTTGATGTCCAAAAACATTATCCGTCAAATGCGTCGGGTGCTGTAGCCAAGTCGTCAACAGAGCTGCGGAGATCAGTATTTGGCATGTTTGGGGGCGATCCTACACGCATGACCTCGCTCTTATATTGGGGAAAGGTTAACATGATGATGGCGATGAAGATAATGATTATGACGATGATGATGATATTGTGATGATGGATGCAAAGATTGACGTCATACATCATCAGTGAAATGGAAACGATGTTGGCTAAGCATCCAATCCTCATTTAGAAAATTAAATGTCAACAATATCATGTGAACTGTAAGTGGTTCGGACCCTTGACTCTTTCAGTGGTTTTATCGATAACAAGACGAACTGTTCGGTCAGCAGTACGCAGGCCACGCCTCCACCTCTCCACTCACTAGTGATGCTGGATCAAGAGCACTACGAGTCGCTCTTCCTCTTTTTGGCATTTTCTAATAAACTCAAGAAATAATGACTACAAGCAAGCGTACCATGACTCAGGTGATGGCAACATGTGACCCAGGATGACCCCAGCAACGCGTCCCCAAGTTAGACGGAAGACCCGGATGTTGGATGCATCTGATGGCCAGCAAATAGTCTGCTTTAGGGTGAAGGATATCTGATAATATCTCTCCTAAATTTCACTGCCTGTGAGGCAATCCGGCAACAATAGGCGAATCCTCCTCTGATTAATTATGACATCATAACCAGTCTTTCACACACAGGAACATAATCAGTGATGATATGGGTTGAACACATCGCCAGTCATGGTATCAGGATGATGACCTTGGACGTGTGCCACACATTTCAGGTCACTGTATCAGGATGATGACCCAAGACAGGTTGCAGTGCTGTGTAACCTGCTTGGTGCAGGTCGCATCATCAGGTGTGGTTATTACTCTCACTAACAATTAGGATATGATGGTAAAAATCAGATAACCCCAGATTATTTGCTCATCACCATAAGATACTCAAACATTCTGGCCTAAATCAATAAGGCATCAGATTCACGGGCCGCACAACAGCAGAACAGTGGGCGGGGCCTAGAGGTGACGTCAAACCTCTCCCCCGACAACAATGACATAACCCGAGGTAGTGCGGCCTAGCTCAGGGCCTGCCTTACAAAATCAAGAAAGATGAGTATTATGTAACACACTACCCAAAGTTCATTAACGATGAAGTACTGCAAGCCACCAGTAACTTTTTAAACTCATTAAATTTCAAACAGACAAGCTTAACGATACCTGTCAAGTCCTTAAGTGGTAACTGAGAATATGTTCAAGTGCCACACTAGAGGTTCCGTCTCAGCTGTACGTCGCTACCTGCCGCACATGAAAACACCGCAGGAACCTAAAACACGAATACTGGACACTGTGGATGACAGGACAAGACTTAATAGGATCTAGTCTCTGTCAAGCATCGATAATTCATCACGTAGTGCATCGTCTTAAGTTGCCAAAATAATTTTAAGGCTTTGCTCGTGTACAATTTAGAAGTAAAAATGAAAATGCCAAGAATAGATATAAAATGCTCAGACTTTAACAAATGTCTCCGAATTCGAACAGGGAGGTAAGTGTGAGTGAGATAAGAGGGGCGTGAAGATAAGGACCTCAGCTGAGACTGCCTCGTGGTGACTACAACCCAAATTTGGAGCAGTTCTCACGTTTCCACATAACTATTAATTATCAACAAATGATCCAATTTTAAGGCAATTTTTTCGAAGCTGTTCTTTGATTAGATATTTTTTATCGTCAACTACCACAATAAATTTATTTGCAAATTCTAGACTCTTAAAGTGCAGTAATATTCCATTACTAAACACACTACATCAAGCAAGAGACACCAGACTCTACAGTCAGTCCTACATTCAAGGCGTGTGAGTCTCTTGCCAGGTGAATGGGATCCTTGAAGGCTGTCTCGTCCAATCAACAGAATAAGACACGAGATCTCAGCCCAAGAGCACCAGGCTACATAAGTCATTCAGAGTCTTGTGGGGTTTTATCTTGACCTTCAGTATACTGTACTTGGCTGACAACCAGCAGTTATGTCACTACATATCTCTTGTGACAACAAAACAACTTCTGTATGTTGCAAGGTTATTTGTTCACCACCAACGTCAGGTGGTGGTGGCCGGGATGTGCTCTCGCCAGCCACATTGTCCTCCAGCCTGTCATATACACTAGCTTCTAAAGACGTCATTTCAGAGGTATTTTCATAGTATATAATATAGTAAACACATAAGTAGGATAAGTTCCGTGTGGCGTGAGTGGGGCGGCGGCAGCTGTAGTCACCCACTGCTGCCAGCCGCTGGTCATGGGCGGAGTCCCCTGCTCACACCTTCACTATTCGCTGTGGGTGTGGGTGATGGGATGGGCGTCTGTGGGCGAGGGGTTAGAGGTGAGTGAGTGGGCGGGTCTCCGCTGGACCAAAGTGGACTCGGTGTCTGCAGGACCGTTGAGGCAGGGGTGTGTGTGGGCGGGCTCGGCGCCCTCGTGGATGGTGTTGAGTACCTGATGCACCACGTTTGGCGGGGCCTCGCCCTCCACTCCAGCCCCGCCCGCACCACTAGCCCCACCCGTGCCTGGACCTCCCCCGCCAACATTCACTCCGCCGTCACACTTAGTCCCGGTGCCCACCTTGCCACTCACAGATGGATGGCTGCTACTGAAGGCCGCAGCCAGAGGCTGTGGGCCACCCAGCACCACACTGCCGCCCAGGACCTGCTCGTCGAGGCGGCCATTCCTGGTGGGCGGGGTGTCGCCGCCGCCCTCACACGTGGCTAAGGAGTCACAGGTGGTTGTAGTGGTGGGCGTAGAGACGGATTGGTGGCGAGAGGACGAGGCGGTGGTGGAGATGGAGGAGGAGGTGGTAGAGGCCGAAGGTGTGGTGGCGGTGATGATGTGGCCCACGATGAGATGCTCGTCAGAGAAGTCAAGGGCGACGCTCACGTGGTACAACATGTTGCAGGTGGCGATCACGTACTCACACAGCGAGAACCAGCTGAACGCTGCAACAACAACACCGAGGTTATTTACACATCACAGTTACAGTAATACAAAGTTTACAACAACACTGTTATAATAATACCAAGATAACAACAATACCCATGGGCTGACTGGTGACTGTATAACCTTACTCATGGGCTGACTGGTGACTGTATAACCTTACTCATGGGCTGACTGGTGACTGTATAACCTTACTCATGGGCTGACTGGTGACTGTATAACCTTACTCATGGGCTGACTGGGACTGTAACCTTACCATGGGCTGACTGGTGACTGTAACCTACCTGCTGACTGGTGACTGTATAACCTTACTCATGGGCTGACTGGTGACTGCAATCTTACTCATGTACTGACTGCTGACTGTATAACCTTACTCATGGGCTGACTGGTGACTGTATAACCTACTCATGGGCTGACTGGTGACTGTATAACCTTACTCATGGGCTGACTGGTGACTGTATAACCTTACTCATGGGCTGACTGGTGACTGTATAACCTTACTCATGGGCTGACTGGTGACTGTATAACCTTACCCATGGGCTGACTGGTAGAGGCCGGTTGTGTCAGTAGCTCACCCATGGGTTAAGTGACAGAGGATGGCAGGGGTCAGTAACTCATCCATGGGTTATGAGGCAGAGGGTCGCAGGGACCAGCAGCTCACCATGGGTTAAGAGGCAGGGGTTGGCAGGGGTCAGTAACTCACCCATGGGTTAGGTGGCAGGGGTTGGCAGGGGTCAGTAACTCATCATGGGTTAAGAGGCAGGGGTTGGCAGGGGTCAATAATTCACCAATGGGTTAGGTGGCAGGGGTTGGCAGGGGTCAGTAACTCACTCATGGGTTATGAGGCAGAGGGTCGCAGGAATCAATAACTCACCATGGGTAAGAGGCAGGGGTTGGCAGGGGTCAGTAACTCACCCATAGGTTGACAGAATACTCGGTGTCGCCAGAAGAAGAAGAGGAGACCGCCGGTTGAGGCCAACTTAATGCCGAAGAGCCACTTTTTCTGAGCAAAGGAGCGGAGGAGTCTTGGGGAGAGGGTGTGACGCACTGCTCGCACCACCCGGATCACACACAGCATGTACACCAGCGACACCAACATGAACAGCGTAAACAGCTTCTCGTGCACAGCTGTTGAGAGAATATTTCGTTAGTGATATGTTCTCAGAGACAGCTGTTGTGATTGTTATTCTTAAAGTGACGTGTTCTCGTTCAACAACTACCGACAGAACACCTTGTCACTGCCTAAATTAAAGACTTCATGATGGTTATAAGAAAATGATTTACGAGACTTTGGTGATGAGAATAATTTCATATAGTGGTGGGAAGGTAATTGTCCTACGGTAATACTTAAGAGTGTAATTTAAGTCTGTTATCACTATAGGTGGTGGGACTCAAGGATCTTACCTCCAGGTCTTGAGTTCCTAACACAGGTAATGAAATAATTAACTTTGACTTCTTGACATCGGTTTAATTATGCATACGGGAATAAGAACTTGAGTATAAAACCTGAAAAAGACTGATATATGAAATTAGTTCAAGGATGCGTCTCTGGGAGCTGTTATGGAGTTTTTATCAGTCAGTTAGTCAGTCAGTCAGTCAGTCAGTCAAGGTATTCACAAAGTTACCTGACTCAGCTAAATATGATATTCAAATCCTCTTATAGTGAACATATGCTGTAAGGACGGGTATTACGGCACAAACACATGGGCCTAGAAAATGTAGGCAACATGAGTTTCCCATCGTTGACGGCGTCCACACGGAAAAAGTAAACAGAAAGAGAACACAAATTACAAAATACACGAAACTGTTTTCCTATCACAAACAATCTTTAAAAAATTCTAGGGACATACTCCTTCAGCCCTCTCCCTCGGCCGTCCTCACTCGACTCCCCTATCTCTGGCGGCGTCCACACGGGGCGTACAGTATATACAGACGAAAAATATTACTAAAAATGCATAAAACTGTTTTCCTATCACAACAGATCTTCAGAAATATTCAGGGACATCCTCCTATAATACTTTCTACCCTCCCCCTGCCTACACACGAAGGCTCTGACCTCCTCCCCCTTCCCCCTACCCCAACACGATGGCTCTGACCTCCTCCCCCTTCCCCCTACCCCAACACGATGGCTCTGACCTCCTCCCCTCCCTCCCACCCCTGCCAACACACGAAGACTCTGGCCCAGGGTTCGCGGCTGTCTCTGCGATATGTTACTGGCTAGTATATCTGTGATGGCGTCTTCCGCTTCATTCCCTTTTGAGAACCAGCACACACACACACACACATAGGAGGTATTTGTGTGTCGCCCACAACACCAACACTACACGCTGCACGCTGGGTCTGGGTTTGATTACGACCACCGACCACTGCTCTTCACGTAACCATCGTCTAGCACAAGTACAGTCCCCTTCACTAGTGCGTTTACAGAAGCTCGTCAGGTTTTGTGTAGTGTGGCAGCCCTGTGTTTGTTTACTTTAGACAGAAAGAAACTAGCAATAGTAAACGTAATGTGGAATCTAATTAAAACAATATTAAAATAAATATTTCAAAGATAATGATTTGTGGAATGTTTATATGACGAGCCCCTGTAAACGTACTAGTGAAGAGGACTGTACCTTACCTGTACTGTACACCACACTCTTGCCTTTTCAATGTTATTTATAACTTACAAATTTTACATGTAAAAGTATGATGGTTCTAAATAGTTCAGTAATATTATACTATCATTATTTCTATTCTTATGTACGACTCTCTTGATTATTTAATGTGATCTGTTATGCTATTATTGGCTGTGAGTTTTTTCAGTTATAATTTCATGACTATAGTTTTACAGTATCGTACAACAGTTTCATAGTTGCATTGTGTCGATTTTTAAGCGAATTTGATTTTTTATGGATAAATCTGGATAAATTCTTGACTCTGGTTCCTGAAATAGGCCAGTAGCTCTATATCTCACACACACACAAGAGGAGCTAATGTGTTAAGTGACTCCCGTGTTCACAACACACAATAGGAAATCCATGACAACGTCCCCCCAGGAACCTATTATTGTGTAGTTAGTAGCAGTAGTGGCCACTAACCCCTGCCATGTTGCTCTCACGCCGCTAACGAGCAATTGAATGTTTGATAGTGAACACCGAATGTCTGTGTTTGTCCTTATAGTAAAATCATTCTTTTAAAAACAGTCAATGCCCATTACGTACATTGAGTTTTATCATAAAATTGTACTTATGGGATCACATAAAGATTAGCCTCCACCTTATTTCGCTTGAGGAATAATAATAATGGAAGCCCCTCGTAATCGAGGATGGCCGGCCCAAGGGCCTCCTAGGCGTGAATTTGTTAAGGTGTAAAAGCTGTCGCCAACACTACAACCACACCCCCAAGTTAACGAGCTGCATGACCCAGTGTCAAGGAATAGTCTGAGAAGACCGGACAACTAGCCAACTGCACTGGCTAACCATTACCCCGGAATAAGATCCGCAAATCGATTAACATCCAGGTTCCCAATTACTGTTGAAAAGACATAGGCAAATGGCGTAAAGAAACTTGCCCATAGTTTCACCCTCCCCGGGGATCGAATTCGGGTCCGCTCGCTTATGAGGCGAGGATGCCTCAAGCATCCTAACTTGGAAAATAACCACCCTAACGCTCACCTAACCCAACCTAACCTAACCTTACCTAACGCAAACCTAACCTAACCTAACCTAACCCCCTAGGTAACGTTAGGAAATCTTCAGGTGTGAAATAAACTGGGAGGGATAATCTTCATGTAATCAAATTTATGGTAAATCTTGGTGTTGTTAATGTGTCAAGGAGGAGGAGGCGGAGGAGGAGGAAGACAAGAAGAAATAAGAAAAGAGAAGAAGAAGAAGAAGAAGAAGAAGAAGAAGAAGAAGAAGGAAGAGGAGGAGGAGGAGGAGGAAGAAGAAGAAGAAGAAGAAGAAGAAGAAGAAGAAGAAGAAGAAGAAAGAAGAAAGAAGAAATAAGAAAAGAGAAGAAGAAGAAGAAGAAGAAGAAGAAGAAGAAGAAGAAGGAAGAGGAGGAGGAGGAGGAGGAAGTGAACAGCCGCTTGGACACTTTATGGTCCATTTAACTTCCAAAAGTGACAATTTACTGCGGGTAACTGACCAGGGAGAGGAGGATATTAGTTGTTGCTGGTGCCACACACACACACACACACACACACACACACACACACACACACATCACTATCTCCTCCCTTCTTTACTCTCTCCACCAGACAACAACCAATTCCGTTTTCCTCTCCATCAATTACTGCATTCTTCATTTCTACCAATCATCGCCTTCTTCCTCTCTACCAATCACATCACCACCTTCTTCCTTCTCTTTTAATTAACATACACTCTTTCTCCACCAATCACCGCCTCCTCCTTGTCCACCAATCACCGCCTCGTTCCTCTTTACCAATTACCGCCTCGTCCCTGTCCACCAATCACCGCCCTCGTATCTGTCCCTATCCAGCCATCACCAGTGTTGGAGAGGTGTTTACCCACTGTGTACACCGCCGTTTACTCAGGGTGCAACAGTGTTTACCTCGCGTGGAATGACAGTGAGATCAAAGGCATCAGATCTCGCAAGTGAGGGACCTAGAGAGAGAGGGACGTCTTCAGGAGAGAGAGAGAGAGAGAGAGAGAGAGAGAGAGAGAGAGAGAGAGAGAGGTGCGGGTTTGGTTTATTTGGGTGTTCTTTTAATGTATGTTTACGCAGGTGTTCTGGTATGGTGGTGAGGTTAGAGTTTTGTAAGGGAGAAGTTATATTTGTATGGCATTTTTCTTCCTTCAGTTTTGGTCACCGTACAGAATTGATATCGAATCTCTAGAAATAATTCAGACGAGGATGGGCAAGGCTAATCCCGGGCATTAGGAACCTTGAGTACAGAGACAGGTTAAAGCATCTTAATTTGCACTCCCTCGAGAGACGTAGAGTGAGGGGCGATATGATAGAGGTGTATAAATGGAAGTCAGGGCTAAACAAAGGTGATATAACAAAGGTACTCAAATTATCTAACCAGGAGCGAACTCGTAGCAATGGTTTTATATTAGATAAATTTAGATTTAGGCGCGAGATAGGTAAACATTGGTTTGGAAATAGAGTAGTGGACGACTGGAACAAGTTACCAAACGTCATCATTATCTTGTATACGCTGCCATTATTTATATTAGCATGAGAAAATAATAACAATATGTCTAATAGAAATAATAATCACGGTCATTTTTAATACCATCATCATTATATCTGTACGTAATAATAAACCACAAATAAACCTTAGTGCTTAAGTATTGATTTTGTTCTCCTCGACTTAGATAACATTAAAAAACATCATATAATATAAATTATTTACATTACTACGGTTTAAGGTGAACATATACTCTATCAACACACTTAAGTTCCAATAATGTGTTTTTATCCTTTTAAGAGAGTTTTGTGGTTTGTTTAGTTTGGTGTTATACAGAAGAGAAACTGAAGCCTACTGTTCCAAGTTTATAGTGACACCTTTATATAAAATGTTTTGGTGGACAGAATTATAGAGATAAATATTGTATCACTCACTCAGACCCTGGGGAAGCTACTGGCGGAGGTGACACTTAGTTCACGTGGATATTTCATGAAGGTTTCTGTGTATAAATATTCAAGTGAGGTGAGACAGGTGAATTGTGTGGTTCTGGTGATAATGGTGTGTGTGTGTGTGTTTGTTCTGGCAATAGTGGGATGTGTATGTTAATAGTGCGAGATAGGACGAGTTCCCCTCCCCTCTTCACCCCTATACCCTGCTACTACACCCCACCACTGTTACCAATTCACCCCTCGCCGTCAAACCTCACCCTCCTCGCGATGCTCACCTCCCTCACTTAACCAATCTCTATGTAAATTAAATGGTCACGGCGACAGACTACCTCCTCCTCCTCCTCCTCACCGCCCCTCGTTTTAAACTGTTTAATCTAAGCCACACTCCTCCGCCTCCACTATTAACTGACTGGAATTCCTCTCTGAAAATAATAACAGAGTATTTAGGATCATTACACACACACACATACACACACACACACACACACACACACACACACACACACACACATAATCAGCAAGAGAGGCATTTGGCATTA